GGTACCAAAACCGCAACTACTTACCAAAGACGTAGTCAGAAGTGCTTGGGCAGCCATAAAGGACTGAGTATGAGTAATTAATCGCAACAACTGTTGGGTCTTTGTTGAGTAATCAAAATTTTCGCAGTCAAGAGACGGTGTGTACAAATTTCAGGGTTTTTTTTATAATTTTGAAAACTGCTATAAGTATCGATTGCTAATAATTGTATATGATGATAGCTCGCTTTTATTTTGTATTCTCAAGATTTACCTCTTAAGCTCGGAATTTAATTCTTGTGACAAATTGATTTTTCGACGTTGTTTCATATAGAAGCAGATTTATTCAAAACTTTCATTTAGTGAACCGGGATATAACGAAGTTTTTTCAATGTACCGAAATTTTGCCTAAGCAACTTGATTATTGGTTATAACAAAAATTTAAATCTGTTGACCGTAATAAAAATATGACGATGTTTTCTTTCATCTATTACATGTATTATGTGATAGTAAAATTCATCATAACTTAATAATCTTATTATGTATGCACGTGCGTTTGCATAAAAAAAGTCTAAATATTGTGTTGACAATGAGGCGGCGAAACATGTTGTGAATAAACGCCGTACAGTAAATTTTCGTCCCCGAACGAGCATGTTGAATAAAATTAGTTTGATTTCTAGAAAATTTTTTATTATCATATTCCAAGTCTGCGGTTAATACAAAACAGCAAATTATTACCCTGTTACAACAAAGCTATAATAAAATTGTATATAACTTCTTATAAAGAGGAGGAAACCTGGATATAATGAAGAAAAAGACCACAACAATTTTAAAATTTGCGGCGCTCTATCTCTTTTCTCATTCTAAACCTAAACACGTGACATTATTAGACAACGCAGGGTATGGCTTGTGATAAAGTTTAATCCGAATCGTCTGCAAGTTACAGGGAAAAAACCCCTTATTATTTCATAAAATCCGCTAATATTTTTCGCAAGTTCTCACCAAACCCTTATATCAAAAGCTTTTCCGAACGAGCTTTCAACTGCAAACTTCCCGACGCTCAGATTCTCCAGATAACTTTCAGGTCTAATACATATTTTTTTCGCTCGAATATGTTGGCTTAATGCCTAATCGACGTCGTTTTCCACGTAACTATGCGGATTAATGATGAAGGTGGAAAGCATCAGCATAGCGGGCTTGGGTGACAGTTGAAATGTTACACACATAGTTTTTGCAAAATCATCTAGTCGACTTTAAACCAATTGTATGCCATGAAAACAAATTGTTAAAAGATACGACCAAAAAAAATCTTAAAGTACAACTTTTGTTTCATATACTGCCAAAGTACTGTAATTCGAGAAACAACGTATTAATTCGGAAGCTAGCTAAGAACGTTTACCTGGAAAGTGTCCACGCATTAAAAAAAAGAGAGTCAACGCTGTGACTTAAAGGGCCCGGATATAAAACTAATAAAAAAACCCAAATGCGTTTTATTTTCAGATCGCGATCCGGCTGATTTTAGTTCGCCAAGAGGGTGTCGTCTGTAATGTCGAGCATTATGGTATCAGATTGTGTAATAATATCAAGTTCGAATCAATATCTGGACTTAGTCGGCAAAGCTTTGTGCTGAGACTATTATAACAAATTGATTGTGAATGCAAAAAAACACAAAAACTTATGTATATTCGCACCCAAAACATCAGGTATACTGTCTATCCAGCATCCCGGACATTTGCATGATTGGCTGGAATTCAATGGTCATTTACTAGATGACAAACACAGTAAATTAAAATTTAAGTTTAATTTTGTATAGTATGTTAGTTTACACCTAAATTAACTTTCAAATATGTATCCGTTTGGTGTCATTTGTAGTTTACAAAAATTGCGTAAACAAGATAAACATTTTTTATTAATACACTAGACACAATTAGCTTAGAAAAAATGTCTTCAAAAATGCAAAACATTTCTATGTTATCAGTGCAGTAAACAGTCAGATTTAAGCACTGCTAGTGGTTATATTCAAACAGCTATTGCTCATCACAGAGCATCCGTTTGCTGTTATTTATAATTTGTTAAATTTGCAATAAAACATAGAACAAAACTGCTTAAAAGTACAGATAATATTATGTAACATTTACTAGATGAAAAACACAGTAAATCAAAATTTAAGCCTAATTTTGTATAGTGTGTTAGTTTACACCTATGTTAATTTTCACATATGTATCCGTTTGGTATTATTTGTAGTTCATAAGAATTGCGTAAACAAGATAAAATTTGTTTATTAATACATTATGTAAGAATAACATAGTAACAATGCCCTTGGAAAATGCAAGCAATTTTGTTTGTCAAACAGCATGGGTTGGGGCATTGTATTGGTGTCTGTTTTCAAATGGTCATTACTCCTCACTAGTTTATCTGTTTGCTGAGATCTTTGACTCTTTAGATTCACAATAAAGTAAAAAAAAAAATCTGGTCTAAGAATATGGTACCCTATTATAGCCCCAATGAAGCATAATTTACAAAAAGTTAAAACTTTACATAAAATTTTTTTTTAAAAATTTTTTTTAATTAATAATATTCTTCAACCACTCATCCTACAACTATGTATTTAGCTCATTTAAATCTCCTGGACAAGCTAAATTACTTTTAATAATGGCAAAAGTACAGATAGCATAGTAACAACATTCTCAAAAACGCGTCACAAAATTAAAGGTCAAATATGCCCAAAATTGGCCTACAGATTAAGGGATGTATATCCAAACCTTTTCTGTTGCTCCACTTGTGGCTAATGAATAATACAAATTATATTTCTGATTATCTAATTTATGTCTCACTAAAACTAATAAGTTATAATAATAACATCAAATTACACACTTTAATTACAGATGTACTATTTTAAACATAATAGCTTACTATTACAAGCTTATTGTCACAATGATTGGATAATCAATTAAAATTAAAAGTGGTATATAGCTGGTGTGGTATTTGAGATGACAGTACTGTTGAGTTACACTTCGCGTTTTTGCTATCATTCATGCTATCACAGCCCCCGTCGTCAATTGCCATCATTCATACACACCAATATACCATAGGTTTGATTAAATTGAATACCCAAACAATGATATTACTGGTCAACAGCATGCCCATGATACTAGTATTTGTTTCACTTACAAAGTTTCTGCAATAGTGGACCCTCCACCATAGTTGAAGATAACATAAAAATACCAGTTTATTGTTACCCATTTCTTAAGATCATCATGTGAACCTGACTTATTCTTGAACATTCAAATGAAGTAATCAGCTCCACCCATACTGAACATACATATAGTATATTAGTGATATATTATTACTAATGCTTGCATCTCATTATTACTTCCCCAATGAATATACCAAGATCTTTAGTCTCCAACCACCTCTTACCTGATTCAATTCGTTCCGATTTCTAAAATATAATAACAAAGACAGGCCATCACAGTTCCACCAACTGAATATGTTCAAGCTGATAAAACAATCCAGCAAGTGGCCCATTTTCAAGTTGCACCTCCTCTTGCCATCTGCAAGCATAAGGGTTGGCAGTGTTTCACCAATATTATTTGGTCCCTTGACACATGTAAAACTCTGCTCAGAGGTTTGAAAATTGTCCAGAGCTGTTCTTTAAGATCCTTAAACATTTCTTGGAAATATGGGAAATTTCTGTCAGAAAATGATTTGGGCACCACAAATGACATACAAGGGTACTGATTTGAAGGTACTAATTTTTTCGTCAAATGAGATGGGTATTTTTGTTGCAGTCTCCTACTAACATGGAAGGGCACAGATTTGAGAGTACTGGTTTTTTCAAGAATGGGGAAGAGAAAAAGCACAAAAACCGTTTTATGCCTTGTTCCCAGAACCATATCTCAACAGTCCAGTTTTTCTCCAAAGCTTTCTCCACTTGTGGGTAATAGTTGCCATCACAAGCGATCAGTGCTAATATCGCAGGCCTTTTTGTAAAGATTGCTTCACACATATGAAGTGCAAGTGTCATATCAACTTTCATTTTATGGTTATCAACATTTTGATTGTAGAGAACTACTTTGAACCCTTCTTCTCTAATCTGCTCCCACAGTGAATCATTTGGTGATGGTGGACAAGAGCTGACAAGGACTGGAAAGTCACCCAGCCTATGTTTACCCTGAATTGTTTGAAGAAGTCACCTGTAATCAATAAGAAGGTGCCTAGAGTCCTTAAACAACCATTTGCTCCCTTCAAGTTCACTAATTGCAGGCTTGGCTTGATTGAAAAAGTTAGAGTTGTCAATGAATATAAACACATCATTTTGATCGTTTTCTATATAAAAGGAAAGGATTTTTAGTATACCAAGCCAAGAATGAAATGATAACAAAAATATAGCTCCCTGTACATGTACTTACGTGCTGGTGGGGACTTGACTTGATTTTTGGGCGGTGTTTGACAATAAGCAGGAAAGAAAAGAAAAAAAAGCACAAGTTAGTCAACGTCGAAAACAGTATACCAATACAATGATAGTGAGGGAATTTAATTCAGGGCGTGAGCAGTAAGCAAGAAAAGCTAGGATAATCAATTACCAGTAGGGACTTCAACGATCATGTGGATGTGCTCTTTGAGAGGCTCATTGTCGTCAGAAAAATAGAGCCGACCGTTTTTATTGGTGATAACTTGATGCCATTTCGAGTGGGGTGTTGCTGAAGCAACTCATCTTGATCGGCAGAGATGTTTACCTTCCACAGTCTAAGATTGTCGGCATCGACATGGGTAAAGGTTGGCTTTTTCGCCTTTATTGTGTCCTTGAGCGCACTAATAGACTTATCCCTACCAATATGAACTTCGAAAGCACACTCGATTGTCTTTCCTTTTTCTAAGCAGAGAATTTTAATGGACACGGTTATATATGGTTTGTAGGATGTACCTGTCAATAGTATGGACGGATAGAAAAAGGCTTTTTCGGGCACTATGGGGGTTGCCAAACTTGATTTTGATTGGTCACTGATGACATTTATATGACGTATATGTAATGATCTGATGACGCATATTAATACAATCGGCGGTCGAAAAAGTATCAAACGAGAAAAGAAGGACTATGCACATTATGTCTCAACGCCAAACTTAAATGGGCCCTTGAAACTCCCTATGACATTCGCGATGAAGCAATGAACGACTTGCTTAAAGGATATTCTTCCAATTTTGCTGCCAATCGTAAAAAATTAAAGATGAAGCTCCGTTCCAAAAAGGATTCTCAACAATCAATTATAATACTTCTAGACACTGGGACGAGTGAATATTCATTTATTTCTAAAATCAAGTCAGCAGAATCTCTTCCAAATAAGCTTGAATATAGTACCTCAAGCTTTTGAATTGTACCCGGGGGTACTGTGTGCGGCTATTTGAGGGGGGTACTTTGAAATTCCTCGCATTGTACTACTACCATAGTATTGTAACACGTGACGTACTATAAACTATTTGTACCCGGGTACATTTCAAAAACTTTACCAAAAATTCCTGAATTGTACCCGGGTTCTAATTTAGGGGATAGGGGTACTATATTCAGTGCTCGCCGGGACTTTTAATTACTCTTAAATTTAGGAATTACCACCAAGTATTGTATGTTACACGAACATATATTAGTAGTGTCACCTTGTATTAGTATGGTATAACTTTTAGATTATGCGCATCTTTAAAGAGACTTTCTCAAAAAGATCGATTAAGATAAGAGACATAATAATAATTCTTTCTCGCGCTTGGCAAGACAATACATTTATTTAACACTTATGACTGACCCGATGTCGATATAAAATAAGTATTTTAAGTGGCTTAGCAAAAAAAGAAATAATTATAATGTATTGCGAGTTCCTCCTCATTTTCGTCTATTTCAACGAGAACAGCAACAAACATTACATCCTATTGTCAAACTCTTTGTCCAGTCAAAAAGAACTAGCGCTCCTTCTGTATTAAGTTATCTTCTAGGCTATTGAGAGCATGTTAAGGGGCATGAATTCAGTAAGGGGCGTCGTCTAAATTGGGAATTGTTTATTTTTCACATGAACGTAATTTAAACTACTTTCTGCTTGATGGAAACATATCAAACTCTTGTTGGCTTGTGTGTGGCAATAATAATTTTCCGGCTGATTGAGAACATCATAGTAATAGATACATTATAACGTCTCATTAATGAAAGAGCATTATTAATTTATTTACCTGCATTGTATGAAGACGTTATTACTGGGAACAATAATGATTGTACAGATTAACATCGCATGCTTACTAGTACTAAGCAACTCACTCTTTACGCCTACCCATGCCACTATATTACATAACTTAATTTCCAATAAACGGCTCCATGCTCTTGTGTTCGTCATCGTCTTCACCATATTCGGAAATGCCAAATGTGAAAAGAAAAAAAATTTTAACCCAATCAATCGAATAATCATGTAGTGCAAGGATTTACGTTATTATTAGCAAGTCGATCAACAAGAACCTCGGATAATGTTTTGACCAATCACATCCGATTACCAAGAAAAGGAAGGAATCAAGAACTGGTGGAAATACTTGATAACATTGTAGCACGATTTTATCATTACCATTGCAAATTGATTGTTACCATTACGAGTTGTCTTGACTTTCTATTGGCAAGACTGGGATGCAGTATGACAGCATGATATCATTCACATTACTTTATTTGTATTTATTGATTTGCTAAGTCATTGTGCACAAAGATGTTTATAGATGTTGATATATTAGTACGTATGCGTTTCATAATTATCCACAATCGCCATTAACCCTATCCAAATAAGGTAATCCAGTAACACAACTTCTTTCTGTGTATGGCTCACAACGTTGCATATCAACACTCCAAACTTACTCGGATATTAGTTTTCTCATACCTTTTTTCACCTCCATAACCCCGAATTAAAAACCCTTTTACTCAACCCCTTCCCGATATTACTAAGCGATGGGTGCAAAGACAAAGAGGAACATTTTGGACAAGACTGCTTGCGTGTTTGTGTTGAAGAGTGCAAAAAGAGAAGTTGCGATTGTCGGCTACACGTGCGATTTGAAGGTATGCAAATGGAGATTCTCAGTTGGAACATGAGTGGCGAGAACATGCACTTTAGCAACCGCACTGCAAAGAAATATGTAGTATTTCAGTTGTTGGCGTCTATAACACATTTTTTTCCCTACCTTTTGGCATTCTCCATTCCCCATTTGTGCTTCTACAGTTAGTCTGATACATGCTTACCTTCCTCTTTTCATGGATTATCTAGTATTTTCCTGGTTTTAATCTCGCTCACAGTATCTAATCTGCTTTCCTCTAAATTCATTCTTTCCTCCAAATCTCCAATTAACCCGTAAAAGCGCCGACTAATACAGCAAAACAAACCCCGTAAAAATCCCCGACCACGCTCGCGAAAACACAACGCCGGGACATGGATCCCTGTAATGGCCGTAACAGGTTTTAAAACTCAAAAGGACGCCATGTCATTCGAATGGTTTGTCAAGAAGGTTGTCAAGCAAAAAGAATACAACGACTATGTCAAACTTTACCGCGGTCGCTGTCCAGCTACCGTCATCAAACGCATTCTTGCTATTCGCGGTCTTCTCTGCGAACAGGACAAATGGTGGTCGAGCAAGCGACAGAGATACTGTTGTCATTGGTTTGGCAAATCGTTTGGAGACGAGATGCAGTTTAGAAAGATGCAGTTTAATTGGGGAAGGACCGGCAGACCGGTAGAGCATATAGATATGGAGCTTGATGGAATAGAAGAACTTTTTGGAAAGTGTATGGAAGAAGCGAGAGGTCGAGGAGATAGCGAGGAGGGAGAAGACGGACGCTCTTGTGAAGGAGATGAGGAAATGATGGAAGAAGAAGAAGAAGAACAAAAGGATATTATTAGTGAAGATAAAAAAAAAAGGAGAGTTAGGAGTGGAAAGCGAATACCAGAAAACGTTGAGGTGATCGTTATTGATTCTGACAATGATACTATTTGTGATTCAGATCATAAATGCCAAGTGGGAAGTGATTAGGGGGAGTTGGGATGAAAGAGAATGGAAAAATGGATGAAAAAGACGGGTGTGGGCTACACATATTAGCCCAAGAATAGGAATTGGGGGAAGGCCTTATGAAGGCATGAGAATTGCAGGGTGGAGGGAAACAGTGATAGGGATATAGTAAGAATGGAATGGAAATCCATTAATATTATTGCAGGAATTTTACAAGATTGCAAGTAGTTTGGGGTATTAACAATTAATGAAGAATGAATGCTAACTAGCATTGGTTAATATAATAGCATATCTCTTTAAACACAGATCTCTTTGCATATAGCGAATAAAGCGATAAAACAGTTTTAAAAAGTAAGACCATTTATTCTCTAGCAATGCGGATGCTGCGTAAGCCTCTCACCATTTGTGCCATATCTTTTTCGTTTTTCTGTCTCCCATCATCTGGTTCTAGTTTCCATAACTCAGAGTCCGCGGCGAAAGATCGCATCCTGGAATTCTTTCCATGCTTTTGCTTGGATTGTGTTACCATTGACAAGCGACTATTGTAGGCATCGGTTTGGAGAAATGGCTCAATCTTGACGAAGTAGCAGCTTTGAGTCTAAGCAAAGGGGTAGACAGGAGTAATAAAGTAGAGCGGGTAATTAACTATAGTGGGTGTTCTAGATATTAATATATTAGGTTACCGTGACACTAGTGCAACTGCTTTGGTTCACAAATACTTCTTCTCGACAGTCTATAGGTATGCTAGCTACAGTATGTGCTTTATTATCGTCATGTTCCGAGACAATGGCAATCTCTTGTCCCATCTCCTGTTAAGTAGCACCCGGCTCCGGTGTCACAAATTTAGCGTATCAACCTAACTAACCATATATATTAACTTACCTCATTTCTCGAAAAGGAATAGGCTATTCGAGTATCATCCTTCTTGTCTGATAATATTCAACTAAAATGATGCAACCTTCTGATAATTGGGATCAAGCAACAACGGCACATGGGACAATTAATCTTTCAATATTATTCTTTTATCAACGGTAACGACGAAGCGGCCCGCTATTCCTCAACATTGTTCATCACGTAACAGTTCCTCCTCTCAACAACTAAGCAGCTCCTCTCATACACAATTAATCTCTCCTTTTAAATCTTTTCAAATACTCTCATAGCTGCCTCAAAAGCAACAAAAGTTGCGGCATTAACAGGACCAGCACGCAAAATACACGTACCAAAACCACGAAAGAACCCCTTGACACCTTCAGTTCTATGTATTTTCCTCGCACAATCGATCACGCCGTTATACTTTCTTGTTTCTGGAGTAAACCCATCAGTCTGTAATTTACTTTTCAACACATCGACAGGATACACGCTTGTCCACATGGCATAACCGGCAAGCGCACCAAACAAGCACGGTTTCCAACTGGCAAGTTCATCGCGTGATTTATGTTCACGTTTCATTGTTTGTTGCATGAGGTATTCGTAAGCAAGAAAGTATGCCCCGTAACCTTGGAATTCGCGGACCATTGTGATGCCTTGACCTTTATAAAGTCCACGGATACCGTGAGATGCATATACTTTCTTGATAAAATCTATAGGGCCAGAATAGGTTTTCGTTGAGGGAGTCGAGGACGTCTGTGTAGGAGTAACCTGTACTTGGAGACCTATGTTAAGAATGCAAAGGGGATATCGAGTATGAGCTGATCTCTGAATGACGTGTACGTAATCAGAACGATAGTTCAGAGAGAGATCTGACTTACGAGTCCTTATGTGTTCGACCGGACCTATAAAAAAGTATATTTGTTGGTATGCCAGAAGACATGACGGATCAAACAATAAACTAAACACTCGAGAAATGCAAAGCCATGTATTTACCTGATACTATAGAATTTGCGATTCCAGCAGCGGCACCTGCGAAATACAATTGTGAGTTACTCAAGAACCCAGTATATCCATTTTTCTCATTAAAGACACGTTTCATAAACTCCAAAACAACAAATTGGATTGAAACACATGCACCAATGCCTACGAGCGGTGTGGTTGTGCCCTGAGTTTTGTGAAGAAAGTTTTACGTATGTATATACAATTAGCATATGTTGACGTTGTGTATTGAATGGCGCCAGTAATAAATGGTTTACCTTGTAAAATGCAAACGGTCCTTCGGCCTTGTAAGTTTTCCGAACGCAATCAATCATGCTAGTATATCGCGGCTGTTCGCCTGGTTTCGGAATCGGTTGTGTTTGTAGACGCTACTCGAAAAATTATGTTTGACTATACAAGCTCAGACGACAACTAGAAATTTTGACTTGCTTTAAAGAGGTGGGTAAACCTTCACTACACTTACCACTTTGACAGTATCGAAAGGCTAACGAGATCAGCATAGAAAAAAAAAGGACATGTTAAATTTAACTTCTTCCATGCTGTACAAAAAAGTTCGTCCTTCATTCTTACCTGTCCAGCAAAAACTTGGACAATACCACCGACTGTCCCGCTTGCGCAGTCCTTCGCGGCTCTAGCGAAACCTCCCTGTTGTTCTGGCATGGTTTTTGTAAAGATCAGGAGGAAATGGTGTGGTCCAGCAGAACTTGAATGTTTGATTTTTTTCGCATTGTGTGATATGCGCGATGAGTATGTTCGGGACTTTTACTTGTTATATCGAATATTAACTGCATTTAGGTCTGTGTTGGTTGCACGGAATGGTGGAATGGTAGAAGTTTGTGTATCCACAAATCGGACAATTATTAATCAACAAATCGGGAATTCCACAGAAATTACGTTCTTCACTATTACTATACGCTTACAAAAATGCTCAAGTTTAAGTTATCCTAACAATAAGCAACTCGATGAGTTTATTAAGAAATCTCAATTACAAACAAAACTCAGCAAATGATGCTTATTTGGAATGGATTCAATTTGATTGTATTGGTACTGGGGAAATATGCTTGGATGGTCTACCTTCTTTTGATCATCGTGTAACTGTTAAATTGATTCCACTCGAGATAACAGATGAAGATGGATGGTTCATATTATGGGTAAACTATTCAATTGTTTATTGATTGTTTAGGTGATTATTGACTTGTAACTATTATTTCCCACTAGTTATGAATGTGCATCCAGATATTGTTATCAATTACCATCGGATTTACATACAATGCGAGTAAACAAAAGTATTATCTAGACTGGCTTTTGTCTGGCGTGTTCATCGCGATTAAAATCTGCGATAAATGCACTCTGTTTCAAATGCAAGGCACCAAGACCACTCGACTGGACTACAAGCAACAAGTCTTTGGATTCATTCATAATGGAGTCATTGAAGAATATTAATATGAAGAATCAATTTGATGCGGATAGAATACTCTCTATTTACAAACATACAAGAGATAACACCATTACGCCATGGATGCACCCATATAGCGGATTGGTTAGAACCGCCGACGAACGAATTGATAAGAGTGACACTCAAAAAGATAGTCAATGCTCAGTCGTTTGATTTTTATCAGGTAAATTATTTCACGTGTAAACAATGCAATTAGTATTAATAACCGTGTTTGGCGTTTTATATCGATATTGTTGTAACGACCATATTGACTCCAGATAACATTTGGATTATTGGTATCACTCAATCGCCATCTACTAAACAATATCATTTGGTGCTCTATCACGACGTACATGAACTATTGGACAGATTTACACGAACTTACAAAGGCAAAACTATCTGCGCGATATTCATACTGTGGGATCAGTGCATTGTGATCTTCATGGCAGAAACATAAATTCAAACATTCGAGGCGTTTTACCTTTTACACGTATTGCACCAGAAGTCTTTCATACCTGCAAATTTACGAAGAAATCAGACATATTAATATATTCTTTTGGTATTTAATGCCACCAATGAACCATCTTTTAGAGATAGATAATTTGATAGAGACTTGTTTTGGGTGAACTACAATGCATGATTCAGCACCAGAGAGGTACAACTTATGTGTTGTGATGCTGATCCTGACGAGCGATTTGAAGATTCGTTGCTATATTGACAATCTTATTGAAGAGGTCGACAATAATAAGTCTGACGACGACATTGGAATACCATTTATCTTAATAATAATGTAAGGTCTTTATCACGTCACGAGAAGGAAGATAAATACTCAAGTAAGCACTTACTTACTGGAAATCCGCCCAAACCGAGAAACAGTCATGACTCAGTGTAAATAACAATGAATTACGTGTTGATTTTAAAATAAAGTCAATTTACAATATTAACATAATCAATTGACTATAATTTAGTGACTCCTAAATATAAACTTGTAATTTACAGCTTACACGAGTTTATTCAAAGATTTATCACTCTTTTAATTAAATACGATGTTTATGCTTGTTGTAACACTTACCCATAGTTGGATACAAGTTTACCTTAAGAACATATCCCATGGCTAGTTTATTTAATTTGGCGGCATGCTATGAATTAAACTAACGTAAGTGCTTTTCACTAAAGACATCGATGTGGCTGTTTGCCGTTTACCAAAATTTATTGGTTTCTTTTTTTTTCGACTCAGTCTTAAAAATTTGCCACTAATTTTCGGGCGAATTGGGATATGGTCTATTGAACCAAGATGACAACGTTAATTAGAAAAACGCAGTTGTGTCTGGTTTAGATTAAAGATTCCTATTTTAACTTTTTTTGATATAATTGTACATTGTAGAAAACGAAATAAAAGTTAATTTATGCAAAGTCTGGACAATTAATGTATTGTTTGCACATGGAGTGGTTAATTTTGCGACGTTGGTCAATCAAAGGTTTTTCCATTGTATTTTTAGTAACAAAACAAACCGCTTGATTGCGAAATTATTAGCCGAGTTTTTTGTCGCGTTACATGCATAATTATTCACGTATTACAGAAATCGATTCAGAATTTAAACTTAACAATAAATAGTGCAACGCATAAGTCATATTGTGCAGGCATTATGTTTGTATGGCCAGATACATAAGATACACGACTTGCAATTTTATTTTGGGCATGTGTGTTCAACAAGGCCCATGACAATCACTAACCAAATGTTATACAGAAAATTCTTATTGAAGGTAGGGGAGGGGACCCCACATAAAACAGATCAGAGTAACAAAAACCCAGAGTGGGATTTAACTCCTTCTATACTGAACCAAAAAGTTTGTTCTTCTTATGTCCAACAAAAACTGGGACAATCTCACCGATTGCGTAGTCCTTTACGGCTTTAGCGAAACTTTCCTGTTGTTCTGGCATAATTTAGTAAAAATCAGGTTTGATTTTTTTTTTCTGCTTACCGACTTCCACAAGTCGGACAACTACTGCTTTCATGTGTGCAGGATAGCATTTATCTCTACAATATCAGATTGGTCACTCTTGCCAGGAATCGGGAATTTCAAAAAATTACGTTCTTTACGATATGCTAGCTTTACTTTTTACAAAAATGCAATATTAAAGCATTGTAAATTAATTTCTCAATTCTGACATTTTTCCCTAATAAAATAATACATCCAGCACCGTTTCCTTTGTTGATTGTAGAGAGCAGCGCATGCATCTGTTACGTTTGGTCACCTGGGAGAGCGTTGTGTTCAATTGACCGGGGGGATATTCTCAAAGTTTGGCTCTAAACGTGATCTTGCTACACGCTCGAGTCAATTAGGGCGTAGCTAAAATTTGCATGCGACTCTTTATACCTTTTATTACTAAGGTATTAACTCTCACTCGAATGTTGTGCTATACTATCTATATAAATAAAAACAAAAAAATATATCGCACCGATAATCAAACTATCCTTTCCTGTTTGGTTTGATACTCCAGCGTCCGTTTAGATATTAATCCAACTTCCGTAAGCTGGCCTAACGGCACAGCAACAACAATGCACAAGAATGGAACTATTATTGAAACAACTAATAATCCTTAGTCGAAGAGTGTATTAATTATAAAGGGCGATAAATATTCGACGTGTCCAATTAAGAAATTCCTTATACTCGTTCTCAGCCGCTCCTAGTGAATGAGTCCAACCAAAAATCGTAGACGATAAATTTAATCAATTTCACTACCGATTTTAGTATTTTATTTAATATAAATATTATAAATTGTTGTTTGTTCAATAAACTACAATGATCTTATCAATGCTTTGACGATGAAAATTTTCTATAAATACGTGCGTACAGTAGGTGGGCACAAATTTTGGACCCTGTCACAAACTAAATTTTGTGTTGTTTTCCGTGAAACTGGGACGCAACTTATTTCATAGCAATAGTACACTTTTCGTGACAGGGTACGATTTCGCTATTTTAAAAATATGCCGCATCCGAAATGTTAATGTAACGGACATTAAATCGATGCGTTGACTTCAGTCAACGGCATCAAAATTCAATAAGTCTAGCACCAATATATTCTTTTCATTCAATATAATAATAGTTAATGAACGGTATTAATATGCTGTGTTTTGAGACATCTTACAGTAATGTATCTGGTAGTTATCAATTTCTTAAAACGTAATCAGAAGTAACTACGTAGCACAATAATTACTGAGAATAACCAGTTACGTGCTAATTCCATAGAAACCGGTACACAGTGAAAGTCGATATAACGGACTGCTCGGGACCAGTTGTTACTTGAACCCCTTTTTTTTATTCGAAACTATGTCAGATATTCAAAATCCAGCTATTCGCAACTTGATTAAATCATCCTGTGTAAATGAATATGATAAACTTGAATGGATTCCTTTTGCAGAGATTACTTACATAAAGCCAAGTCAAATTGACAACGTTCACTATGCTATTCGGAAGCAAATTTTTGACGATGATACAATTAGCGAAGCGATGATAATTTTGATATTAGTTGGAAGCAATGAAACATGTACAACAACACTTGTGAGTGAATTTGGTGGAATATACTCACTTCCAACGCATAAGTACAATAATTACGGCAGTCGGTTTAGAAGATACAAAAGATGGCTTGAGTATCGTAACAAACTGGTATATGGATTTACCAAGCATGAAGATAGATATTATATGGTTGCTGATAGAAAGTTTCACCATTGTTATTCTCTCTATGGATTTTGCTCTGCATGTGGAATACTCCGATGTAGTCCCGTGTGGTGCATTTGCGGGCATAAACAATTATCCGATGGATGGACTAGC